TGTCAATGCACAATCAATAAAATCCGTAGTCAGCAGTAGAAGAATCGTTAAACAGCAAGAAGAAATCCGTAAAGCTCAATAAATCAGTACATACGATAAATTTCGTAAGGATCCAATGAAATCAATAGTAGAAAATCATCGTCTCGATAATAACCGTTAAATCAATATCGTATCAATAAAATCGATCAAATCAATCATCTCTGGTCAAAATCAAACTAATACGTCGTAAGAACGATTGAAATCAAATCAATACAGTAAAACCTATTCCATATCAGTCAATGAATCACATGCAGCAGTTCAATACGGTGTATCAATGAAACGATAGTATCAATGAGTCAATATCAATAAATCAGTATCAATGAATCAATAGTATCCATGCCCATAGTATCAATAAGTCAATACAATATCGATATACATATCAGTATAAGTATCAATACTCAGTGAAATAATGCGAATATCAATGAAATCGTACAGAAAATCCGTAAATCTGTCAATAAATAAATTTCAATACAAATCCGTCGATATCAATAAATCCATGAATCCATAATGCGATAAATAGGTCAATATGGTACACATGCAATTCAGTATAATAGTCTTACTGAACAAGTACAATCACTGGGTATTAAGGCATTTTTTGGTATCGATGTATCGTTGTGTCGTTATATCCGTTGGCTCAATAAGAGTCGTCACTCTGTGCCCGTCGGCATAATAATCTCCTTATGACTCCCAATAGAGGATATCGCCAAACCCTTTTTAAAGGAAAGCCCGTCGGCCCACCATCCTGTACAGGTCAAGTCAATCTACAACCAACGGCTCAACCAGTCTTCACTTGTCTTTCAGTAACAATAACAATAATTCAATCATATATTCACATTCGTATGTATATTCAATCATTCAAATCATCAATTCAGAAAATCAGAGGTCGTACGAGAAATCGGCGGCATAACGACAGTATGCAGAATTTACACAAAATTCACAGATTTAGAAATTTACCAAATTACCGCAGAACATTCACAACAATATTATAAGACTTTCATTGTACTGAAGTAACATTTTTAAACATCATGATAATTTTCTATTCGATAAAAATCGCACAGAACTCAAAATAACCGGTAGAAACTTTACAGAAAGTACTCAAATCGCACAGAACTATCATATCAGAAACATATCAAAAGTTGTGCAGTAAAACTTTCGTCAATACAAAATTATGCACGTTTTTCGGTAACGGAAACAAAAATCTGAGCACAGAAATACCAAAACTCAAAATCTTCAAAAACATAAATATGAATCGGAGTCCTTACTGCGAGACAAACAAATCTTCCAACTGCGTCGTCGGATGAAAAGCGTTCCGCGGGCTCCAAAACCAAGCTTTTCCTTCTCTTTCTCTCTCCTGGTTTCTCTTTCTCTCTCTTCAAAATGATCCAACATATCTCAAATCCGATATTTATTAACACTGGTCGTCCCGGACGGTCCAAAATTCGTCCCGGGACGATTTGCCTCGGGCAGAATTTCGTACAGACGAAATTAAAATTCGTCAGGACGACTTGCTCTCTACACAAATTTCGTCCAGACGGATCGTCCCGACCCTTCCAGGTTCGTACATACGAAATTGACAGATTCTTCACAAATTTTCTTCAGTTCGTCCCGTACTAAATCCAGTTCGTACAGACGAACTGCACTAAAAAAAATCAGCTTTTTAAGGGTTTTACAATCTACCCACCTTAAAAAAAATGTCGTCTTCGACATTTCCCTTAAGGGATTGAATGCAAAATCGATACAAAGTAAATCCATCCAATCAAAACTCAAATCAAAATCAAATCGAATTAAAATCAAAACTCGTCAGAATCTATACAGTCATTCAGTGCATTCAATCACATGTCACACTATGTATGCAAAATGATGCATTTGAAACAATTCATTCTACCAAACTATCAATCAAATCCTTTCACTACACTTGCTCTGATACCAATCTGTGACACCCCAGACATCCATAGTGAAAGGATTCGTCGACAGTCTTGATCAATCTCCATTCTTGCTCCCTTGCTCGGACCTGAAAATATTAACCACATATAATGAGCTTCAAAAAGCCCAGCAGGTCACCAAAAACTAACAACTGAAATCAAAGCACGGTACGGAAGCAATATGCATCTCAATCAGTCGAATCTATAACAGTCAGTTGCACATGATCAGTGAATCAATGCAGATACGGAAATCAGTAGTCAATGCACAATCAATAAAATTCATAGTCAGCAGTAGAAGAATCGTTAAACAACAGGAAGAAATCCGTAAAGCTCAATAAATCAGTACATACGATAAATTTCGTAAGGATCCAATGAAATCAATAGTAGAAAATTATCGCCTTGATAATAACCGTTAAATCAATATCGTATCAATAAAATCGATCAAATCAATCATCTCTGGTCAAAATCAAACTAATACGTCGTAAGAACGATTGAAATCAAATCAATACAGTAAAACCTATTCCATATCAGTCAATGAATCACATGCAGTAGTTCAATACGGTGTATCAATGAAACGATAGTATCAATGAGTCAATATCAATAAATTAGTATCAATGTATCAATAGTATCCATGTCCATAGTATCAATAAGTCAAAAGTCCGTCGGCCCACCATCTTATATAGGTCAAGTCAATCTCCAACCAACGGTTCAACCAGTCTTCACTTGTCTTTCAGTAACAATAACAATAATTAAATCATATATTCACATTCGTATGCATATTCAATCATTCAAATCATCAATTCAGAAAATTAGAGGTCGTACGAAAAATCGGCAGCATAACGACAGTATACAGAATTTACACAAAATTCACAGATTCAGAAATTTACCAAATTACCGCAGAACATTCACAACAATATTATAAGACTTTCATTGTACTGAAGCAACATTTTTCAACATCCTCATAATTTTCTATTCGATAAAAATCGCACAGAACTCAAAATAACCGGTAGAAACTTTACAGAAAATACTCAAATCGCACAGAACTATCATATCAGAAACATATCAAAAGTTGTGCAGTAAAACTTTCGTCAATACAAAATTATGCGCGTTTTTCGGTAACGGAAACACAAATCTGAGCACAGAAATACCAAAACTCGAAATCTTTGAAAACAGAAATAGGAATCAGAGTCCTTACTGCGAGACAAACAAATCTTCCAACTGCGTCGTCGGACGAAAAGCGCTCCGCGGGCTCCAAAACCAAGCTTTTCCTTCTCTTCCTTCTCTTTCTCTCTCCTGATTTCTCTTTCTCTCTCTTCAAAATGATCCAAAATATCTCAAATCCGATATTTATTAACACTGATCGTCCCGGACGATCCAAAATTCGTCCCGGGACGATTTGCCTTGGGCAGAATTTTGTACAGACGAAATTAAAATTCGTCCGGACGACTTGCTCTCTGCACAAATTTTGTCCAGACGGATCGTCCCGACCCTTCCAGGTTCGTACAAACAAAATTGACAGATTCTTCACAAATTTTCTTCAGTTCGTCCCGTACTAAATCCAGTTCGTACGGACGAACTGCACTAAAAAAAATCAGCTTTTTAAGGGTTTTACAGAAGGGATATGTAAGTGGTGAGGAGCAAATCGCACAGAGGATTTCAAGATCTTGATTTCTTTGTCATGTCGATGCAAAGGTTCGAGATCGACAAGTTCAAAGGGGAGAACGATTTCAGGCTTTGGAAGATCAAGATAAAGGCTCTATTGGTTCATCAAGGCCTTTCCGATGCAATCTTTGAAGAGAATTTCACTGCAATCACCGACAGGGCCAAGGAGAGAGAAATTCAATTGAAAGCTCACAGTATTATCCTTCTCTCTATCGATGACGAAGTTTTAAGAGAGGTTGCTGAAGAAGATACGACATTAAAGGTATGGAGGAAGCTTGAATCAGTTTACATGAAAAAATCTCTTACAAATCGTCTGTTTTTAAGAAACAACTGTATACGCTCCAAATGGAAGAAAACCAAGAACTCATAAAGCATTTGGACGATTTCAATAAATTGATTCTTGACCTCAGGAATGTCGATGTAAAAATAAACGAAGAAGATCAAGGGATCATACTCCTCAGCTCTCTACCGATGACGTATGAAAACATTGTTGACACTATGTTGTATGAGAAGCAAATTTTGACATTGACGGAGGTTAAGTCCGTCTTAATGTCAAAAGATGTTCTAAGGAAAACCGATCAGAAAGAAGATAAGAATAACAACATTCTGATCGCTAGAGGAAGATCAGAATCGCGTAGAATCAATTCCAACAGGAAGTGCTTTCATTGTAACAAAGAAGGGCACATTAAGAGGTATTGTCCAAATTTGTCACAAGGAGTTGAACAAGAAGTCAGCTTGGCAATAGCAGCAGATTTGGGAGACGGTTTGACTGATTCTGATATTTTTAAAATCTGGACTAAGGGGGTGATTATTAGATAAATATTCCAGATTTTATTAGTTTTGTTTCTTTAGCATTTTCTTTAGTTTGTTAGTTTGTGTGTGGCTTATCCTATAGCCTTATTTTTCTTTAAATAAGCCTTTTGGGTTGTATTAGTTGAATGCCATATTAAGAAATTATTCTTCTCTGTTCTGAAAAGCTTTTTCGGTTTTTTCCTTTTTTCTTCAAGAAGCCGTGACAAGCTTCTGTCAAAAGCTCTGGTGATTCAAACGCTTTTACTGTTTCACAATACACATTAATTGATAGGAGAAATATTTTTAAAATATTATGCAAGAAATTTTGAAAAGTTAACAAAAATAAGTTTTCAAAAAGGTGATAGATATTTTGAGAAAAATAAAAAAAAATATGCAAATACCAAGAGGCACAAGCTAAAATGACCAACCGGAATGGCCTGGGTGTTCCCATTTTGAAGAAGGTTAAGTTCACCTATGGTGCCCAGAACTCTACTTATCTGGTGGGTCTAAGATTGGTTGGCTGAAAGTTGCTGCTTTGATGCATTTAATACTAGAGTTAATCGAAAGTATAAATTGCTAAAACTTGCTCAGTTAGAGCTTACAGAGCATAGAGGCCTAAAGCTCTGAAGAAGATCGGAGAAGGAAAATGGTTTCCCTCTCATTCAACTCGTTGTCTCCTCCACCATCTCAAAACAGGAAGCTTTCAGAACCGGCTTATGTTAATGGAACTCTGAAGCCAATTACAATCAGAGGAAGTCCTCCTACCTTTGTTTCTGCTCCAGGCCGCAGGATAATTGCTGGTGAGATTTTTCTCCAAATCGAACTTTTAATTTCTTGTCTTGAAGACGGCCAACAGAAATATTTTCTTTCTCATGCACATTTTAATTATTGCTGAATGTTTTTTCAGATGTTAATGCTCCACATCAAGGATATGGTTTGCCATTTGTTGCACCAATCTTGTGTGTGTGTGTGTGTTTTTTTGTGGCATTTACATGACAAGCCGTTTAATGTTCTTGCGTTCTTGGTAAATATATTTATCTTTTTTTTTTAAATTATTTGGCGTATACTAATTGTTTGATGGGTTAAATATAAATACAAGATTTTAGGTTGTGAAATCACAAGATTTTCTTTCTCAGTATGCAGTTGCAAACAGCTATTTTAGTAATTATCGGACCAAGAATACTGACAAAAGCAGCATTGTAAGAACATGGAATTTAAATACAGACCAATGAAGAAGCTTAGGCCAAAATTTAGAATACTTTAATTATCCACCAGAACCACGAACAAAATTTTATTCAATTTAGTTTTTTTTGGAGTAATAAGCTCTTGTGCCATTCAATATACACTTTTGCTAGGAATCTCTCTATTGTGCTTCTTGATCATCAAGAAGTGGAATGCACCTTTTGAGTAAGCGTGAACTCTTTAAGGAAGAAGAAGGGGAGGAAGAGAGATTAGAAAATGGTGAAAATTAAAATCTTATTCCTTGAATTTAATTACAGCATTTGGGTTTTATTTATAGTGTTTACATTTTTTTTCTTAAAATAGATTTTATTTCCAAAGAAAAAGGACATACAATCAAAAGGCAAGAAAAGCAACAAAAAAAAAAAAAAAAAGAAAAGAAAAGAAAAATACAAAGCTGAAAAAAAAGCCACATGACTCGACAAAAAGTGAGTAAATTGGAAAGGATAAATAATCTGAAGTGTCGGACTCAAAATCACCACCCAGTTGCCAAACTTGGACCATCCATTGGAGGAAGAATAACCATCAGCAAGAAAACCCAACCACAAAAGCCACCCTTGAACATACAGAAGAAGAATCCACCAAGGTTGCCAAAACGAGCCATGACCTTCCAGAGAGGCGTGCAGGAAACCTGCCTCATCATAGTACAAAAACAAAAGCCAACGACCCACATCCTTGCCATCAAACCACAAGACACCTAACAACACCATTCGACCAATAGTAGGATATTACAAATTAAATGACACCACTCAATTACTTCTTTTTAGATTTCCGGCTACATCTCTTGCCACTGCCAAACACTTTTTGGACAATACGACTCACTTTCAAATTGTACACATCATCGTCTATAGGGTCAACATGAGCCCCAACATCCTCACATTGTGATGAACAAGAACCATCTAGCCAATCATTATGATCCATACACTTGCCCATGACTTGGGCATTCAAATCTTCATAAGAAATCAGCTCAATAGGAACATTCACCAACGGAGTGGGAGCATTATTTAGAGGTTCAACATTCATGTCAACCAGACTGCCGACAGGAATAACAGAAACTAAAATACCCAGGTGGCTCACATCTTCATTTTCCACATGATAAAAAGTAACATATAAACTACTAGATTCTCCAACAACGCAATGGGACGCAATAGGGGTAGCTATAGAATTAACCATACAAGAATTAGCACCCTCATTTAAAGGCCCAATAGGTTCAATAGTGAAGGCTACAACCAACACATTTCCAGTCTGCCTATCATTTAGAGAAGTCAAAACCAACATTCCACCATCACTAGGAGCAACTTCATCCTCCACACCAACAGCAACACCAACATATGGAGTTTAATTCCATTTATAGTGTATTAAATGATAGGCAGGTTGGAATTAAAGTTTGCACAAAATCATTTATTTGTTGAGAAAAAAACAACAGATAATTCTATATCAAACATAGAAATCAAAGTCCTATATCCGATTTCATCCTTCCAACCCAAGTATGAAGGGTAAAATCCTTTCTTTAGACAAAAAAAGTCTAAAGAATTTCTATTGATTTGTAACCTCAAAGCTATAAAATTTCCTTCATTTCTATGGGCCCCAAAAGCCTTAGAAGATTTCTAACCTTGGTTCAAAAAGCTGTAGGTTTCCCTCTCTTTCTCTTCCACCATCTATGCTACATCCTCCTCTTCTTAGCTCCAAAAGCTAAAGAAGATATTCCAACACTTAGCCCAAAAAATAATGTTGGACATCTCCTTTCCTTTTCTTTATCCTAAAAGCAAGAGAAAACATCCAATTCCTTAGCCTCAAAGCTATATGTTTCATCACTTCTCCGCCAACATCTAAGTTGTAGGTAAATTTTCTCTATTTAATTCCAAAAGCTAAGGAGAGTCCTCTAATATTTATTCCAAAAGTTAAAGTTGGATATCTTTTCCTTAGACCCAAACTCTAAGTGAAACACCTTCCATAGTAGTATATACCACACAAGCCTCACACATTTAGGTGCACAGCCTTTTAGGCTTGCTAAGATTATGATTTTTCTTTTTTTACGCATGTGATTGATGATTTGGTGTGATGAATATTAGATTATCTGTATTGTGAGCACTTTCCCTTAAATGGATAGTATAGAAATATATACATGTTTTTTTTGCAGGTGACCATATCTAAAAGGAGGACACAATAAGTCATAAATAAAAATGCTTGTATGACAGGTGCAGCTTAAACCCCCAATAGATATGGTCAATAGGGTAGAAATAGGTGCTTAACACTTAAAGTGCTAAATAAATTTTGGATGTGACATGTTTATTATGTAAATTTCTTTATAATCCTTTGTTTTACAGCTTTGAGTCTTTTAATTTCTTAAATGTATTTGATTAGATTTAAGTTATATGTCAAACTTATGGGGTTTGGTCAAAGGAGAGGTTGATCAAAAAGGATGTACATGTTGAAGGTGAAGCTTAAGATCTACCTAGAAGCTGAAGCTTGAATACCTTCACAAGTAAGAGTCTGTAAATAAATATTTGACCGAGTTGTATAATGTTAGTTAACTCAGTTACTAAACATGGTTGTAATAACGTGGACTTTATAATTTATATTCCTTTTGTTTGATTTATATATATAAGCATGTTTTGATCTGTTTACCTGATTGTGCAATAAAAAATGCATGTTTTTTTCTTAAGTTTCTTCTTTCCTTTGCTTGAGGGTGGCCTAAACATGTTGATGTGATAGGCTCTTAGGATAAAACTATTTTTTCTACCCATTAAAATGCTAAGCAATCTAAAATCAATCTATGCTTCATGATTTTCAAATAAAATAAAAAGTATGGTTCACTTCAAGAAACCAAGTTTTCTAAAATTCAAATTGATAATGCATAATCCAGTATGTCACATGTTGAAAAGCTTTCATTTAAGAATTAGATAATAAAAAAATCTCTATTAGTGATTCAACATTTCGGCATACTCACATGGTCAGGAATATTTGCCTAAAAGCCAAGTTGTAAGCCATATCCTCTAAAAAAAAAGCAGCCTCCCTATTCTTCATAAGGATGAAGACTGAATGTAATGGTTTTAAATGCGACTAGGTGGGTTAGCTGGTAGCCCTTTCTAGGAAGGACAATAAATTCGGAGGTCGGGCTAAATATTCCTCATGTGAGGTGTAGTTTGTAAGTCCCTTATACTCCGTTAGACTTAGGTTCGAGGTACTTCCCTTCAGTTGTCCTCACCTTAGTTCTAGGATCCGAGTCAGTGGTTGATTTCAATCATCTCATTATCCCTCACCTTCCGGGCATTTCCTTCAACATGTTGTTGGAATATAAGCCCCAATATTCTAAATTAAAGTTGCCACCTTAAATAAAAAATTGGATTCCAAAATATAAAGTCCAATATATGATTGTTTTGAATACCTCTAAGTTTTCCCTCAGAATCAAGTACTCATACTCTTCATACTTTTGCTCTCATTCCAAAAACTCCTATCAAAGTTGATCCCTCTTCCTTTGAAATTCCTAAAGACCAAAATTCTTTAAACAAGAATTTCATAGATTTTAAAATCAAAATTTTAGCTAATATTTAGATGATTTAAAAAAAAGAAGAAAATCACTAGTTTAATCAAAAGTTTTCTTAAGTACTAAATGCTTAAGATGTAATTAAACATAAGGGCTTGTCCTTATGGGGCATATGTACCTCAGAATAAAATAAACTCCATTCAATCAAATATTGAATGGAGAAATCTTTGCTAAAATTATAAATTTTATTATTGACTGCATAAGAAAATGATATTTTTATACTTCGGAGTAATATATCACCTTTCTCATACCGTACTCGATCACAAAATATGCAATCCGTCGAGGATGGAAAAATTTCACCAACAATTATTTCACTCTAATGATGTTTACAATTCTTGTTTGTGATGATGTGCATCTGATGCGGGCCGCCGCCGACCGGCAGAGGGGGGGCCGGCGACCCCGGCAAGCTCGGAAGCGACCGGAAAGGCGGGACGCGTCGGCCGACCCGCCGAGGGATCGCGCGGAGGGACGCGGGCGCAGCGCGTGACGCAGAGCGGGCGGGGGGGCTTCGGCTTGAGCGGAACCGGTCCATTTCTGGACCGGTTTGGCTCGGGTCAGCCCTGAGCTGGGCTGTTCAGCTTGGGCAGCCCACTAGTGGGTTTGGTTTGATCTTTTGCTTGCTATAAGTGGGAAATGAGGGGGGATTTTTAGGGTTATGCAAGATTGAAGTTTTCTCTTAGCCTCTTAGTTCTTTCTCTTGTTTTTTCTAGGGTTTGTAGTGGGAGACCTTGTCCTTCTCGAAGTGGACAAATTGTATCTTGTTTCTCTTGGATTTTGAATGCAAACTTTCTTGTTCTTCCTCTCATCTCTCTTGTGTTGATTTTTGTCTTGGATTTGGAAGAGAAATTTCTTCTTTGGAAGAGCATTAGGGCAAATCCTAACTTGGGAACCCTAAGGCGTATCAGCATCATTCTGTTTGCTTTTACTTTGCTATTTTATCTTTTTTATTTAACTTTTTAATCCATAAATATATATTTTTTAGTCGGTGATCTGCATGGTGATCTCACGCAAACAAGATCTGCACTGGAAATGGCTGGTGTTTTAAGCTCAGATGGTCCAGATTCATGGATTGGTGGAGAAACGGTATGCATTTGTTTTTCTTTCTTTTTTATGGGCCGGTTTATAGAAGCATGTCATTGAAGAATTTTACCTGTATCTTGAATTAGTGGCTAATATAAATTTTGTTTTTCGACAATTCATATTATTTTATTTGTATAAACAAATAACTTAATGATTAAGTTGGTTCTTTGGATAATACGCGATGTTCACTAATGCTGAAGTTTCAAATGAAAATAGGATACTGTGGTGGTGACTTTGTAACTATGTTCTTCTCTAGTTAATGGCGCCAGAATGTCGGGAAAAAAGATAAATTATCTTACCTTGAAAGGCTCGAGGACCAGTTTTCACAAATTTGTTAAGAGCTAGATAAAAAATTTAAAAAGATTACCGTTGAGATTCAATTGCTACAGATGTTTATCAAAACATGAGTAGTTTTTGACTTTTTCCATTTTGATACTTAGACATGAGCAAATTCACGATTGTGACTACAAATTTTATCAATCGAGTATGATGACTGCTTTTTTGCTTCACCTTAGTATTTTAGTGTACACTTTTCAGTATATCATATATAGAAGAATACATTTGGTGTAAATTAAAGGCATATGATATTTATTCATTACTTATGAAGTTTATTAGAAGATTTTTAGTTTATTTTGATGATTTAAACAATACAACTTTGTTCTTGTCCAAATTATAATGTAAATCATTTTAGTCTCATAAGTTTGCAAACAAATGCAGCTAAAATAAGTTACACTGATACATGATAATACCCATCCTCAGCAGCTCCTTGTCTATTGTATATAAAATGATGTGAAACGTACAAGCATGGATGATTAAATTAAGGAAGTTTGCACGCTTAAATTTTAGAGCACAATAATTATAAGCTTCCTCTTGATGATAAACGCCAAAATAAAAATAATAAGGTGATAAAATAGCTTAGGTCTAAACACATGCGAGAGGTTGAGATCATTAAATAGTCAACTAAGTCTTACTTTGCATACATGAGTGGTTTCAACGAGAAATTCCTATACTAACATTAAGATTAGTTGCTATGAGAAGATCCCTCACACGACTCATCCAATTACTAGGTTTTAGCGGAGAAAATGGCATGAACCTTCATGAATCACTTATAAACCTCAATTGAGTAGCGACTAAGAGATTAAAGACTTGGAGGAGAGTTTACCCCAAATAGTCGGAAGATACGAAGTTCCGGAGGCTGTAATGAGGCTTGGAAGGAAGTAGGTGGCATCCATGAACCTTCCTGAAAGCGTGGTCAACAATTTGAAACGTCCGGATAACGTTTGAAGACCTTCCAATTGGCTGGACAGCCAGATACAGGTGCAGATTTTCCCTGGACAGCAAACTGCACTGTTGGAAATGACTTGGACAGCATACGGGAGTTGCCGGAACTGTGGGCAGCAAGGGAAGCTGGCTGGAATTGCTTCTGGACAGAAAATTACTGTAATTCTGGACGTTGGGACAGCAAAACAACTTGCTGGAGCTCTCTGGACAGTCACCAGGAATCTCCCAAAGAGAAGGGAGGTGGGAGTTTGGGAGGGAGGAGGTGGAGAAGGGGGCGGCTAGAGCTAGGTTAGGATTTGGCGCAATTATTTGAAATCTGAAATTAATTTCAGATTAAGTAAAATTGGCGGGATGAATTTGAATTTGAATTCAAGTTTTAATTGTGAGAATTAACGTGAATGAGAGGGAATTTAGGAGAATTAAATGGGGAGAAATTAATGCAATAGGAGAGAGAAAACCCAATGAAGGGGCCGGCCATATAGAGAGAGGAGGGAGCGATTTGTTTTAATTAGGTGGGGACCACAATCTTAATTTCAGTTTTAACAAAAATCTGAAATTAAATTTCAGTTTTCTAAAGAGGAGGAGTTTCCTAATAGGAAGACAATCAATTGGATTAATTTGAATTTCAAATTCGAAATTGGAATTCAAATAAATGGATTGCATGAATTAGGGAGAAAAATTAGGAAACATTTAATGCTCATAAAACTTTGGAATTTCAAATTTGAAATTCAAAGGAAAGGAGCCGGCGGCTAGAGGAGGGTGGCAAGGGGACGGCCACGGTGTGGAGGTTGGCTTGCCGGCGGGAGGTGGCGGCAAGGTGGCCGGGGGTCTGGGCGGAATAGAGGGGAGGCGGCGGCAAGGCCTGCAGGCCGGCGGGTAATGGGAGATAAGGAGAATTGGGATTTAGGCGGTGGAGCTAGATGATGAATTGGGTGGATGAGGAAATTCGATGCAAGGAGAAAATAAAAAAAAAAACAAGAAAGATAAGAGAACTGCGAACCTTGGAATCCACCAAGATTGACGGGTATTGCTTTTGCCCCACTTGGGCCTCTCCTCTCACGAACTCACTAAGAGATCATCCCAATAAAGAGAACTTAGAACTCACAAAGAGATCCATAAGCACAAACTGAAAATTTCATATTCAATAATCATCCTCAATACAAGAAAAGCTAGCCTATAAATAGGCCTCATGAAAAGAGAAAAAACAAAGATTAAAATGCCCTTCGGGCTACAACACTATATGATCACCCATAAGGGTATAAATGGAAAAACAACAATATAAAAAAAAAACATATAAATAAATAACTAAAAAAAATCGTAGCCGTTGATCTCCGATGTCCTCATCATAAAATCTCTTCTTTTACCCATCTAGCTTAAAGGAGCCTTTCCTAGAAAAATAAATATCTTGTAGAGTGAGTAATATAACTACTCATTGGTTATTATAGTTTTATGCTTTAGTAATTTCAATAATATAAATTATATGTATGTGAGTCGTCAAAAGTATGTTCTAGCTTTTTATTTTGAGAATAGATTAAACATGAGCCTTTGTAATCCATTCAATTTTTTTTTTTTTCATTTAAAACCCTCATTTTTGAATAGGAAACTTCTTACGTTATATATTATCATATTTTTTCTTTTAACAAAATACACCCACCATAGGAGCACTGTTTAATTTATATGCTATTTGAGTCGCATCCATTTTCATATCCTTTTCGAAATCCTTGAACATGTAACCATTTTGTGCATGGGTATACTAATATTTTTAACTAATATCTTAAGAGGGTAAACTCTATTATTCTACACACATATACATTTTCTTATCATATTACTTTCATTTATCTTATCATACATATATTTCTAAAAATTGTAATAAATGAATATGAAATTAGGTGCATTTTATCCAATATTTGTAATTTGAAAATATTTATGCAAGAAAATATACTTATTTAATCATTTTTCAATTGCAAGAAAATATTTATGCAAGTTGTAACGGCATCAAATGTGTATGTAAAAGGACATGTGAGTTAATGCATCAACTTGAGAGAGGCACTGTAATTATTGTAAGATAAAAATATAATAACCTAAATTAATTTTTGGAAGACCAACTCTTCAACTTCATTGTCACTTTAATTTTGGCTTGTCTTTTGTCAGTTCCTCCTAGTTCAAGACATACGAACCATATACACAATAATGTATACAATACTCATATTACTTATCATTCTTCATGAATCTTAAACTTATAAAATAAAATAAATAACCCCAAAATCTAGCACATGACACAAATAACATTCTTACTTTTCTCTCTTGCAAGGCACAAAATTTCTTTTTTTCTTTCTCATTCTATTATCACCGAATCAACCTAAAAATTTTATTACAACTATTTGAAGAATAGAAATTCGATCTAAATTTATATATTTGAACAAGTACAACTCTAGATTAAGTATGACTAATTTATTCTTGCTTTCTCTAAAATTTTGGTTTTATATCGATCAAGTGCTAAAATATTGAAGACACTATCTATTATATAATTATATTTTAACTTCCCTATTTTACGAAATAAAAATTTTAATCTATATATTTTTATGTACATATCTTGTTCTCCTTCCTCCAACTTATACAAAACACCAAAATATCCCTTCTTTTGATCTATTATTCCTTTCCACAACAAATACCTAAAACATCTCTTGAAATCTTTAAGATTAAATTTTGGGTTTCTCAATTAAATCTAACTTTAAATTTTGAGAGGAAAGAAAAACCCTTACCTTGCTCGAGCTTAGTTTTATTCAAAAGCCTAATGTCTCGCTCACAATTAGCCGTGTGATTGCTTGAAACTTACTCATGTTCGGTCTCCTACTGATCCACTTGATCACTTATAATTCACTTAATCAGCCTTTGCTTTGTGTCTCTCTCAAATTGTATATCTCTTGTTCTCCTTTTCTCTCTCAATCTCTCACTTGCGGGTTCGCTCATCTTAACTCACTCGCTCTTGCATCCATGTATAGAGTAGAATCAACTTGTCGGTTCTATACATATGCTATACCAGATTTACACTGAGCTAGAGGGAAGTGAAGGTTTATTGTATGTTAGAGGGAGATTTTATGAGCGAGAATTCTCTTCTAATTGTAGTAGTAGATTTTAGATTAAGTTAAAAAAAATTATTTTTATCATAAAAAAGGGCATGTAAAGAAGAGTTATTTTGCTTTGAAAAAGAGAGCTAGGAGCAAATGATGACCACAAAAAGGATAAGCCAACGGATGCAAGTGCTGTTGTAGATTTTTCTGCTTATGAGGAGGTTTATTAACTCAACTTGTTTTAATCACATGCATTCTAATTTAGATAGATTGTTCGCATATAAGCTAAGTTATGATATTTGTGTTTACATGGGAAATGAAGCTATGTGCATGATTGAAGGTTGTAGAGTTATTAAGTTAAAGTGCATGGTGGTGTGATTATATCGTTAGTTGGAGTTAGGTGTGCTTCATATTTGAAGAATAATTTAATAGTTTTAAGTGCCATTAATTTTGCAAGATATGGATCTCTGTGATGTTGGCATCATTAAGGTCTATAAGGGAGTGTTGGTTGTTTAAAATGTGAACAGAGTTAGTGGACTATGTGTTGCAAAGCGCAATGTCATGTTTTGATGTGTTGAATTTTAAAATTATGGTGATAGCTCATTTAAGAAAAAATGGTTTTAGGTATATGACATTGAGTACAAGTAAAGTATGAAATTTATTGATAATGACTCTAAAACAGGTTCGCGAAATAAGCATTTTATCAAGTGAGAGCTTCCAATGAACTGAGCTCTGCAGGATAAGAAAAAATTCAGAATAAAGGTGCAGCATAATAATAACACGCATCTTGACACAATGATGGACTGAGGTATTGCAAATCCTCTGTTAACCTTCTCAACTGATGAAAGAAGATGTCTCTCAAAGATGTGTTTAGACATAATCACTCATAATACATTTGAAATTCATACTCCAAGTCGGAGATTGTTAAGTGTGGAGTCAAAATTTTATAAATTGTCTTGTATAAGACTTGGTCTTTATTTTCCAGCCTTGGTGGCTATTAACTCAAGATTCACTCGCATTTGATTTTCAAAGATGGTTATTAATCTAACTCTAGGTTAATTCATTCACAATTAATTTTCAGAAATAGTGGCCAACAAATTCGAGCTTGCTACCTTACTATACTTGAGCACTATAAAAAAATGGCTGCATTTCTTTTATGCATCACAAAATAAGCAATAATGACCGGAGAGGAAGAGAAAGAGAGGAGAGCGGTTCCATCTGTGAAAGAAAGAATGAAAGAAGTTCTTTGCTTTGTGCTTACATGGCGAGTTCTTTGATTTCTTCAGAAAGGAAGAATTGTTGTTATTTTTGGTTCTAGCGAGAGAAGAAGCTCTTGGTTAGCAATGAGTAGTTCTCATTTGGGCTTTACAATAGGGAGGGGAAGAGATAAATTGGAGTAACATTATTATATCTTTCTCCATGTCTAGCCCTTATCTTTACAATAGGTTGCAATCTGCCTCAATTAGATAAAATCATATCTTTTATCTATATTTTTAATTTTGTATAAAGTGTAATTCTTCATGTGCCTCTTTTAAAGCTTAGTTGACTAATTGATCTATGCAAGCTTGTGAATGTTAGGCTTACTTAACTCAAATCACGTAAATTTTGGTGTTCTATCTTGAGGTTCTTGACATCTTATGCAATTACTTTGTGGCTAATTTTACTTTCCCTCAGGTTGATGACACTTTCTTTCCTAACACTTCCTCCCTTAGGTTGATGCCACTCTCTTTCCTAACACTCCCTCCACCATAAATGACTGGCCTAACCCTTTCTCTCAAAATTTTGATGAGTAATCCAATAGTTGTGCTATGGAGTCAATATACAATGACTCTTTGTCATTTATTCATCTTACCTTTAAATGGAAACAAATCGAGTGTGTTCTACTTTGTTCTTTTGTGCTTCTTAGAGAAGACTTTTTTAATGAGAAAATGCAATCCTTGGAGAGTCCTCCCTAATCTTTCTTTTAATCTTTTTATCTATCTCACCCCTGTGCTATCATAATGAATGAAGGCAATGATTTAGTGTCATTGTAGTAGGGCTACTGGACTATAAGAATGGACACTTCTGAAGTTTTGTTGTGCCGATTTAGGGAGTGCTTGGAATATAAACATTGAGAAACAAGAAAATATCAAATTGGGCATTCTGCTTAATCCATAATTTGTGTTTAAAAATATTGGACACTTCTTGAGCATTGCTTGGGCACATCTAGATGCAATTTGAATGCAAGTCATGCCACTCTAATCCTATTAGACCCAAATAATCTTATTATAAAATTTTTATTTTACTAAGAATCCCTTCCTTCCAGGCCTCCTTCATTAACTTCGTGTGCACTACACAGCTCACCTTGGTCTGTTGGTTGGGGGCTTTGACTATCAATTGAGAGGTGTTGGGTTCAAAGCTTGTGTATATGAGGCATGTCTGAGTTTGCCTTGATGGCTCAAATGTCTCAAAAAAATTATGTGTATTTTTGTCAAATTTATGTAGTGAGGGACTATTTGGGATTGTATTTGAGGAGTCAAATGACTAAATTGAATACATGAAATAATTTGGGATTATAATTGCCACATAGAAATAGTTTGGAGACTATTTTGACCTTTTTATTCTTTTTTCCCTCTTGCACACTTATATTCTCTCTATACTTTTTTTCTTTTAACATATTACTTCATCTTTTTGATCAAGCCATCAAAGATCTTCATTTTATTTCTATTAACATATTTTAATGATAATAGTAAATGTTTTGTTAGTAAGTATACATGTTTTTTACATAGAAATAATCGTGTCCCCATATTTGTATTTTTTGTGTATTCCGTTAACCACTATTCATACGTGGAACTCGTGATTGATTAACAAACTTCAAATATTTAAATATTTATAATTAAGAGATCAATAATGATGTACTCAGTGAAAAGTAGCAATTATAATTTCTATGGTGTTGGTTCTTCATGGTTTCAAGTAGATTGTGAAAATTTTATTTTCAGAATATTTGTGAGGTTAATTTTTAGGAATTCCCTCATTTTTACTATTTAACTACAAACATAGGCTTTTGCAGTTTGTGAAATGAAAATTACATGATTTAAAGATAGAATAATATCAGAAAAATGTCTGAGCTTAATACGTTTATATTCCTTTTTACTTTTATATTCAAATCAAGATTTCTGTTTCAATAATTATTACTCGAGTTCATTAGTATTTGGATCGGATCGACTTTTATGCCTTGTGAAGGTAAATCTTGTTCATTGAAAGGCTGTCAAGACTTGTTATTAGACCTTTGAAAATACTTTTAATATCAGCTGTGCATCACTTTTCTTTGAAATCAACACTTGGCTCCATTGTGGCTTTTACTGTTTTTTTTTCATATATTGTAAATTCACTGTTCTACGATAATGCAAGTGCATGTGCCACTTCATGGCAAGTTCAAATTAAAACAATGTGGTTTTTATTTGCTTATCCTCACATATTCCAGGTGGTGGTTCAACTTGGAGACATCCTTGATCGGGGTGAAGATGAAATAGCAATTTTATCTTTACTACGCTCCCTACATATTCAGGCAAAATCTAGTGGTGGTGCGGTCTTTCAGGTATAATTTTGTTGTGGATGCCCATATTTTCTTGAGCAAAATAATTATTTTTTTTCCTTTTTTTATACCTTTATGCATGTTTTGGATGCCAACATTATAGAATTTAGTTAGCCTTGTGATGTGAAACGTAGATGGAAAAAAAAAACAGGAATTGCTTTTGGAAATTAATAATTATTTTGAAAAGTGTTGTCAATTATAAGCCTTATGTTTCACCAAGTTGGATTCTTGAATTTTCAATTAGAAGTCATGTAATAGCCTGCGATTACAAACTAGATTAGAAGGATACTTGCAAATAATATAAAATAAATAAGTAAAACAAATGGCTATGAATAACAAAAATCCACGGTTTAACAAATAGATGTTTTCACCTTGAGTCCCCTCACTCTTACTCATGAAAGTAGGGTTTAGCAAAGATAGATATCAGCAACCCTAGAGATGCCACTAAGAGACAAGTGATGCCTACGGTATTATTCGCCTGAGAGGTAGTCGGAGGAGGGGAAGTAGATGGACGTCCGATGATTCGCCAATTTCCGGTCGGAAGATGTTCTTCGATAGAAGGCCTAATGTGAAAAGAATGTGATTCACGTAATTGTCCATGGTGTCGTCAACATCCAAGTTTAAGTCAAAGAAAGGGGATCGAAGAAGGTCCGTTCATCGTACACGAATATGTGATCGTGTTCTAGGTCGGCCATTCATGGAGGCGACGTCGGCTTGAAAATAATCCTTGTATGTGTAAGGATTAGAGTAGGAGAGAAGCATAGGAGAAGTTGGAGAGGAGTACTATTTCAACTAGGGTTAAGGTGGGGTTCCTTTTGGAGTTGGACTACGGAAAGGAAGACTAAAGGTTGTAGGAGAAATCTGAAATTTTAATTTCAGATTTTCGATGGGAGGGAGGGAAGCCGTTTTGAAATTCAAAACTATCCCAAATTTTGGGCTTAGAAGGGGCGGCGGCTAGGAGGGATTTAGGGACGTATTAATGGGCAATTAAAAGCTAGATTGGAGGGAGAAAAGGAGGTTGGGGGGACCGACCATATGGGGAAGGGATTTAAGTGTCTAGGTTCAATGTATGTGGGCCCAAGGACTTAAATAATAATTGGGATCAAATCTGAAATTATATTTTAGATTTGATTTGATTTGTGGAGGCTTCCTAATTGGGATTTAACAATATTGGAAAGTATTTGAAATTCAAAGTTTAATTGAATTCAAATAAGGACACTTTCCTAATTGTCATTTGGGATATTTTAGGAAAGTAATTAGAAGCCATTTGAATTTGAAATTCAAATTAATCGGGAAGGTGGTCGGTGGCTAAAAGGGTTTCGGGAGGGGATGCCGGCGGTTGAGGGGTGGGGACCGGTGGCTGTAGGGGCGGGTGGGGTTGCCAGCGGCATGGGATGATGGGGATAGGGCTGGCGGGTTATGGAGGGGAGGGGAAAAGCTAGGGACAGGCTTGGCCGGTGGCAAGGAGGGAGAATTATGGGTGGTGGCAGATATAGGAGGAAGGGAAAGAAAAGAGAAAATAGAGAAAACCAAGAGCTCGCTCGAAGGTGCTGTTGGGCACTTTGTTTGAGCCTCTCCTTGGCTTCACCTCTTCTCTCAAGAGTTCACAACTCATGAACTCATAATCTAAAATTTTTACTCATTCATCATTAATCTCATACAAGAAAAGACCTCTATATATATAGGCCTCAACAATAAAGAAAAGAAGAAAGATGCAAATGCCCTCGGGGCTAAAATAAGGACTCACTACTCGTAGGGGTAAAATAGGAAAACTGAAATGCAAAATAAACAAAACATAAAATACATCAAAAGTTAAGGCTCCGAATCGTAGCTGTCGATCTACGATTCTGTCGATGGTACACATGTCACAATCTCTAACTGATGTCCTCATCACCTTGTATGCTGGTTGTCACGACCTGGTCCAAGTACTTGAAATATCAAGTCGGAAATAATAGTCAAATGATTGTTTGGTTCTTTTAGCAATAATTAAATAAATAACATCCAAAATCTTGGAAAGCGACACTAATCCTTAATTATTAGTTTGAACAAATATAACATAAATTTTACTTATTTTCATTTGAACATTTGTGTCTGTAGATGAAGCCTTCTCCATTAGTCATTTACTTAATTGAAGATTTATCTAAAATATTTAATTAATTTGGTTGCGTTTTTATCATGAAACTCAATGGTTGATTACAATTCTATAATATAGCAATAATAAATAAATATGCATGTGAGTAGCCATAATTTATCATTAACTTTTGATATTAAAAATAAACATAACTATGAGCACTGATAATCATCATTTTACATGAATATTTTGTAATATTTCAATTTCCAATTTTTAACTTTAAGAAGTCATTTATTTTAGGAGCACCATCTAAAATTCCAATAAAGATACAACCATTTTTATTTCCAACATTTTTTTTTCATTTTTTGTACACAGGTATATTGCTTCCCCAACTATCATCATGCAAGGATGAACTCCTATATTTACATGCGTCTACTTTGTGATTTTGTTACATCATTTCAATATCACGACTTATTCTTTCCATTAAAATTTATACATACATATGAGTCTCAATTTGTTGATATCATATTTTTTATGCATTATCTTATAACACAAGTCATATGGTTCATCACTTTATTGTAATACAATATTACTAAATCTAGCAAGTGTATATACTAGATTTTGTCTCAATATAGTGCATTAAATCAATAATAGAATTGTAATTATTATAAAATAAAATATAATCACCCATATCACTTCATTTTCGAAGATCAAACTTCCCACTTCAATACTTTTCTAAGTTTTAATTGCCCTTCTTTAATGCCCAACCTAACTAACAGAAACATGATTACATCAATCTATATAGCTAATGTAGAATTCTATTTACATAAAAAATTTTAATTAAATAAACGATATTAACTTACCTCTTACCTTGATTTCCGAGAATACACTCATTTGTCTCAATACTTTGTCTCGACTATACTGCTCAATTTTGTTTTTGCATAAAATAACATTAACAATGTTAACTAACATAAAAAATAATGCTATAGGTGTCAAATGTCATCAAGGGCAATTTAAAATACATCAACAACAATAAGAATAAAATCAAGTCTATATCCTACTACATGGGGTCAGCTACATGAAACAGTAATTGCAACAACCACTTGAATTACACAATTTCTTCAATGCCTTCTCCATTCGAAGCCGCACACAAAATCTATCTTCTTCCTCTTTTATGCAGAACACAATATGCAACTTCCTCTTCTTTCTCCATCTCTGACTTCGCTGAAACGCTCTGAGCCATTGTCAAACTTTAACGAACTAAAAACCCAAACACTTCTTTCCTGTTGAGTAGGAATACACATTCCTCTTCTCTTATCCTTTGTCTCCATTGAATTGTAGCCCTGAATTGCACGGTTGTGTCTCTTCTCTCATCCTTTGTCAATCGAACCTACGAATCATATGAAATTCTCCTCTTCTCACACAAAATCCTTCATATGAAATTCTCTCTCCCTCTCTCTCTCTCTCTCCCCCTCTCTCTCTCTCTCTCTCTCTCTATATATATATATATATATATAAATGGGCGGACCCATGCCTTTGCCCAGGGTGGGCAATTGCCGCACCCTCAAAAAAAATTAAAATTTCCCTTTATAATGAGGATAAATTTAGTAATTTGTCCTCTACACCTCATATTTTGCCCTTTTTTCCCAAAGCCCAACCATGTTCACAGGGTTAATTTCAGATTTCCTGAATCGCTCCCAAATCTCTCTCTTCGCATTGAAACTATACTAGTTGCTATTGCTATAGTGGAGAAAACATTTTTTGCATGAAGATTATTAAAATCGGTTGCAAAGGCCAAATAGGTAATGGAACAGACTTAATGACTTCTAATTATCATACAACGAGAATGAAATATTTTGATTATGTTTCCTGAAGTTATTATGCAACATATAAAAAATGTAAAGTAGAATATAAAGTTTGCAATTATTTTTTTAATTCATAAATTTTAATGTAATATAAATACTTTGCTTAGCTTATATATATTTCTTTAATTTTTATTATTTAATTTTTTATATAATGAGTTTGACCACCCTAAAAAATAAGGCTCGATCCGCCACTATATATATATATATATGAGAATCTGTTAGGTCTGTTCCTGAACCGACCCAACCGGCCCCACATGGGCCGGCCTTAGTCTATATGGGGCGGGTCAAACCGCCTCCCATGGGCCCACACCCTATTTGATTGCCGCCCATTAATAGTGGGGTCCGCTATTTGAATTAATCTAGTTTTGGCAAGGGGGATTACACTATTTTTTTTCAAGGGGATTAATCTATTTGATTTAATCTATTTTGGCAAGGGGATTAATCTATTTGATTTAATCTATTTTTGGCAAGGGATTTAATCTATATTTGACTAGGGGGGATGGGCAGCTACGGCTATAAATGGGCATGAGAAGGAAGGGATAGGGCATGCTTGAATATTGTTTTCTCTTGGAGTCTCTTGAGTGTCTTGGACTCTAGACTTGATGTCTAGAGATTGGGAGAGAACGATCCTCCTCTCGAATAGAGGATCAATTTTATATTTGCTTATGTTGCTTTGTTTTTAGTTATCTAATAATATCTACTGTTTTTGGGTTCCTTTCTTTATTATTCTTGTGTTCTTCTTGCTGTTTGTACCAATTTATTGTTAGGGTTGCTTGCGAACTCAAGTATTTTCAATAGGATTACTTGCGAACTCAAGTATTTCCTATCAGAATCACCATATACAGATGAAACTTCTAACATCTTGAATCCTAGCTGCACACACTCTCAGGTTGAATCCATGCATAATCTGACGATCTCATGTAACCTGATAGTTCTCAATTTTTGTCTCCAAAATTCACATACACAAAGAACTGGCATCAATTGTGAGAAGTGAACTTCCAGAAGTCTTCAATTGGGGGATGAGGAAATTTGCAAGACATTTTTCATATTAAGCTAATAATACAACTGATCTTCTCCCCATTCTCTAGCATGAAGCAACCACTCATCTATTTTCCTCTCTTCTTTTTTCTGACACTTCAATTTCCTTACTTCATCTAACCCTTACTCTCCTCTTTCTGTGTTTTCTTTTGACCTGGGTCATAGTGGAAAATTTTGTTGTTAACCCTCACTTCTCCTTCTTTTTAGCTTTTTACCTGATTTATAAAGGACGATTTATTATTATTTTTAAATATTTCACCTTAGTTCCCATCAATATCATTGAACGCTAATGTTTGGATTGTGGTATAGTGGAGGGAATGAAATCAAATCCCAACAATTTATGGTTTGACTATAAATCTACAACCATTTATTTAAAATTTTTAACTCTTCATCGAATAAGTTGAATTCCTAGCATCCAAACACAGCCTAAAGGTTTTTAATCACTTGCTAGGTAAATGGAAATCATGAAACAATGAATGTTGAAGGTGATTTCAGATATGTTGATCCAGGGGCATTTGAGGAGTGTGTAGACTTCGTTGAATACTTAGAAGAGCATGATCAGAACTGGGAGCGAGCTTTTGTTGGATGGGTTGGTGTTTCTAAAAGATGGAAGGAGAATAGAAGAGCATCTCAAGGCCATTGGAATCCTTGGAATCTTGTTCAGGTACTATTCTGCTGTTTAAACTTTACATGCAGCTGTCTTAAGTGTTACCTTGATTAATTTTTATGTTTTTCATTACATCATTTTGCGGACTGATTTAATTTGTCTTATTTTATTTTGAGAGGTAAATGTGTCTCCACTCCATATATAGATATGTAAAGTACAAAAGTGTATGTCTATGTATATCGATATAGGTAACTTGCAGGTATCAAGCAGGTACATTCTTGATGAGCTCGGTCAAGAAGTGCAATCGCCCTAACGAGCATCACCTTTTGGATCATTTACTAGAGCAAGGTCAGGGACAGACAAGCATTCACCCTGATAAAGCTCATGTTATAGGAGCTTGCCTCAAAGAGCTTGATCAAGGTTGCACATGTTTCGAGCAAGTTTGACTAGAAAAATCGCCTCCACCAGGCTTCTCTTTATGCAGAACTCGCTTGATGAGGACTTAGCTTTTTCAACAATTCTCTCAAGTCAAGGCTATCCACCTTCCATGGATATCTCCGTCCAATCTATAGAAAGCACACATCTATAGAGCTTACAATTATGGCTTCATTAACTGTGTTTGTATCGAGTCACTGCTACACTTGCTTAGAAGACTCATTGCATGCACAAAGGGACTTGCCACTCATCTAGGGCATTTGCCTTAAAAGGACTTTCCCAAGTTGTTCATCTTGGAGAAATCGTTCAATGCTCTCTCACTTGAGGAGTCGCCTTGGGCACTTGCCCTCAAGGACTCACCACCCACATAAAGCACTTACCAGATGCATCCCTAGCCACGTCAGAGATAGATGACCATGTCTTTACATTTTGGCTTAGTTCACGTGTATGAACCGGTCTGTAGTAGTCCAATCATGTATTATTCTTTTTATTTTTTATAGTTATAATATTTCCGATAGCCCACTTAATCCTATAAATAAGGGGTTAATAGCCATATTTTGAATTTCATGTCATTTTTATTGTTCCTCAGGTTTACTTAATTTCCTAGTCACTCTTCAAATTCACTTATTCTCACTCCTATTTTCTAGCTCTATCTATCTAGACATGTGATAGGGTCAGGTGTCTCCCACAGAAATTTAAACTCAGCACAAAAAGCAATGGCTAGGTTAGTATGAAGGGTTGCTAACACCATAAGAACCCATAGTTAAGAGGATTGATGAAGACATCAGTATCCTCGCTACAATTCTTATCTAATGAGATGATTACCTGAATTTCAAGCTTTGAGAGTATCTTTTCAAGAATGAAGGAAACAAACCATTTTAGAAAGAGTGCTATAATAGGGGCATTTCTAGTTCTAACAATTTTAGCAATCCTATCCTGCCAGAGGTCCTTATACAAAGTAGTAACCAAGAGATTGCTTCTATTCTATTGCTAGTTAGTCTCATCTTCTTTCTGCATTTTGTGTGCAAGACCTTCACCAATCTGAAATTATTCTCGAATTAATAAAAGAAGGATTGACATTCATGTTGCCTTGAGAATATTGTGGGCTCCGAAAATTCGGCCTCGGCCTCCACTCGCTTTTCTTATTCGGCGAGGAAGTTTTAACGAACTAAGTTCCGAGGTAAATTTTGGAAGGAAGATGGGTTTGTAGATAAGACACTACCCAGAGATTTCGCCCTCATTTTGTGAGGACTTTATGATCTGAGTTCTGGTTTCCTATAGGCGCAATCCCCTATAGAATTACCTCTCTCGATAACGAGAGAGAACTTTCGATTAAGGCTAGTCGACAATCAGATACGTAGATTATACGTGTTATCTGGCATATAGTAGCAGCATAGGGTTTGAGATTGGAAAGATTGGAGAATTTGGAGATTTCATATTTAAAATAGAAACTTCACCATCTTGCACTTAAAGTGAATGGTGGGTGAATGGATGATGGACCCGATCAAGATCCCATGGTTCTGTCATCCCGGGCCATCGTGGTCCCTGGTTTACTTAGTCAGAGGAGTAGTCGACCCAACCTGACAGAAGGATCCTTGTCGGCAGCCATGGGTTGCTTCGTCCAAGGGAACCTTATAGACCGGGGTTGAATGTTTGTCTAAGGGGACAAATTTGAATTCACCTTAGCTAACAGAGGGCTTTGTGCCCTATCGATCATATCCTATTGATTCATATCTCAAGGATTTGACGCCATTAAGGAGCGCATTGGCTCTGGCCATAACCGCTATCTGTGGTGCCATTTGGCGGCAAAACCACTCGGTTCAGAGGGCCCCGGGTCATAACCGTTTACCTGCAGTGCCATTTAGCGGCGAAACTGCCGGTTAGAGGACACGTACCACGTCCTTACTGGCAAGAGATTTTTTGAGAATGGATCATAGTAATATTTTCGACTAGGCATT